AAACCAGGGTTCACTACTTTTTGGGGTTTAAGGAGTGATCACACTGATCACACAATATCTTGAGTACTTAAGTACTCATATTACAGATGTAAGGTATCCAAAACACAACATTTTTTTCAACATATTGTTCAATAAATATTTTATAATATAATGTTGGTGTACTAAAAATAAAATCTCATATATATTGTATTTAAGTAAGTCAAGCACCTCTCTGTAAATATGACTGTTTTCAAGGCTTTTCCAGGACTTGCATTTCTTTAAGCACCTTGTATGAACCCTGACACACACACACACACACACACACACACTGCGTGTGAGCAATCCCATAATGCCAGAGACGCAGGTAAAAACACATGGGTCTATATTGAGATCAGAGTGGTTCTGTTGAAGATAAGAGCTGGGATTACAGCAGAAAGCACAGTAATCTCCTGCTTTATTAACACACCACCGCGTGTTACACACGTGACGTTCATCAGACCCTCACGTCACGATCCGACACCACATTACTGCGATACTCCGAGACACATGATACAAGATCAACAAAAAATGTCCTGTTGGTTAAAATGCTAAATTTGATTTTACATAGTGTGTGTGTGTGTGTGAATGAATAGACTAGGACCCAATGAACAATAGAGACGCCAGAATAACAATATTCATGATCCCGAAGCTGAAAATATCATTATTTTAGACGAATGCTTGCACTCTTTCACTGCGTACATTTATTTACAATAATGTATAGGCCACTTTTACTGTAACAACACATGTGGCATTATCAGGACACACTAACATACATCATGTGTGTGACCTACAACACAGAAGCGCTGCGCTTTACAGAAACTGAATTGTTGGAACCCGTATTTAATGCATGAAGACTTCCTGTCCAGCAACACATTCTCTCTGTGACCTCAGACGCGACCCATGATCTGCTTACATAAGGTGGACTTAACTTGTAACAGGCCGAAAACATGAGTCATCCAAACACGAGTCGGTCCAAACATGCATCTGTTATTTTTCCTTCTTCAGTGGAACATGAAGTCTGATGGAAATGCTTTAAGATCCTTCGATTGGGTTGTTTCTCATCGTCTGCTTTCAATGCATTAAAAATAGCAGCGTAAATATGGATGTCAAATGGTTTTGAAAACACAAAAGCATGTTGGAGAAAATATGCATTGCATTATTAAACATTAATCATTATTGCATTATTAAATTTGTGGAAGCGAATTTGTAAAGCCCGTTGTTGGAAGTGAAATCTGAAAGGTTAATATATGGATTATGGAATTTGTATTAATGAAAAGAACGTGTGTGAAATGAAATATTCACAGCCTAAATGAATTCAGCCCATTAAACTGCAAGCATGGGTAATGCAGTAGTGCAATTCAACAAGCTTTTTGTTTTCAAAAACATTCCATAAACAGGAGAAAAGGAGCTCAAATTATCACATATTTTAAAAACATAAATAAAAGTTCACATTGTGTGCCTTAAACGGGCCGCTAACTAGATCAGCTAATATTCCCTGTCTCCCAAACTACTATTTTTAGAGGCATTTGGCCTCACTTTACACATAAAGTATGAAAGAGTGTGTGTGTGTGTGTGTGTGTGTGAATACGTTTCATATGAGAGGCAGATGTCGAGACGCTTTAAGATGCATCAAGGTTAAGAATCCCAACAGAGAACAGATTACAGCCGCTTTATTTTTACCCACATCTATTCTCTGCTCTCTTTACACATGATGAACACGTGCATGGTGAAAGAAAGCGCTTTACGATCAAACATTGACTGTTCGTTTAGAAAGTGTTTTTGCATTCAAAACACAAGAGGAACAGAGAAACGCAACGGCTCAAGAAGACGTGTTTGTAAAAGTTGAACTTTTTTATCTTGGAAAAAACTAAATAAAAAAAACGCACTCACTGTTACACTTTATATTAAGGTTTCATGGTCAGTGTAATTATATACGTGTTTCCCGAGCTTCTTTATATTCCTCAGATTTGTATCAATTAACAGAAATGTTAAGAGTTTTAAGTTCTCAAAAATAATAACCCAAATTCCAGCCTACACTAAAATAATAAAAGCATAAATGTAGCTTCATTTACATGTGACCACCACCCTGCATATTTGGGTCACGAATGTCCATTTGATGTCCATTTCAATTTATATACAGTATATGTTGTATTTTAATTACTTTCACTATAATGAGTTTGCACTGAACGTTTTCTGGATTCTGATTGGCAGTTGCCATGACGACTGTGGCGCACACTGTTTTGTCTCACTCACTCACATTTATGTTATTAAAAGTTAATAAAAATGATTAATGAATGAGGGATCGTCGTTTTTATAATAATTCTTGGTTTTGTGTTGCTATAGTGTAATTTGAGGGGATTTTTTGAAATACTGCGGGATCAAATGATCAGTACACAGATCAAACCGAACGCAGAGAGATCTCATCCCTCATAACCCGACAGATCTCGTTACCCTGAGTCATCAGCCGGCTGTCAGGAAGGAGAATTAAACCATGATTGATTTCACACCCATTACCCATGATTCAACGGCTTGGCGAACGCGAGAGCATTTCCTATTCATGAGGCGTTTTATGATTCACTCGACACGTTTCTTAAAGATAAAGCCCCACCGAAGTGCCTTGAAACGAGCGGCATTATTCGGTGTCAAGATGTAATTTCCACGGGAACAGGAAGAGGGCGGGGCATATCAAACAGCTCCTCCCCCTTTTTTGAAATGGCCAATAGCGTTTCGTTTATATCACAGCTCGCCCTTGAGATCGTTAAAGACAGTTTCCAATCCAAAGATCTGATCCGTTTTCTGGTCCGCGTCGCCTCGATCACGTGACACTAGCGTGCCGTGAACACTGTCTGAATCGCACTTTACTTGAGTATTATTTAGTGTGGAAACTTATTACTTTAACTACACTACGTTTGAAAGACAAATATCATATTTTTACTCCACCACGCTTCTGTCGATATCCTCGAGTAGAAAGTTGGAATGAAAGTACTGTACATATTACAAACAACAACGCAACAATAATAAAACTATGCATTGACATACTATTCACTTTTGATACTTTTAAAAACGAGCACTTTTGTACTTCAGCGTCTATTTTAACGAAGGGGCGGAGCTTCAGATTCTAGAGAGGATTTGATTGGACAGAAAATCTGATGAGAAGCCAAAGTACAACATGATGATGTCATCAAAACCACTGATCCGGAAGTGAGAGACTAAGTTTGAATGCTTATATCTTCTGAAATGTGAATGTCGTCATTGTTTTGGAGTGAATAGATAACATATTTATACTAAAAGACAAAAACATATAATATGTTGTGTGTTTTAGCAAGGCTCTCTCACCTTTTTGACCAATGACTTTTAATTTAAATTCCTTCCTTTTAAAGGCCTTTTCTATATGCAATTTTAATGCAAATTAGAATTTGAAGAATTTTTTTATTTTAACCATGCAAACATACGCAAAAATAAAAAGTCATATTCACACGAGATCCACCAATATGAGAGAGTCGAAATAGCCATTACATTTACATTCCCTTTTTTCTTGTTTTTCAATGCCTTTTTCCCAAATCTGGCCACAGGAAACCTGAATCTGGAGCCCTACCTCACTATTGTGTCCCCTCAGGTTGAAGTTGATGCGCTGTGGGGTGGTCCGGTCTCTCCTGCAGTGGCTGGAGGTGAACGTGACGCCCACGACGCCCCTGCCGTTCCCCGTGGCGAGCCAGCCTTCCTCATAATAGCGTCTCCTGCACACGGGCTTCTCCTTCTCGCTCCGGGGAACGCGACCCTTCCAGGACAGGCACAAGATGTTGGAGTCGCTGCACAGGACGGGACCGTTCTCCACTGCGGCGAACATGTCTGCACGGTCGGATTCACGCAAATCCACGAAGTCACCCGGCTCACCGGCGGGTCCTTGGGGTCCAGGTGAGAGCGGCGGCCTGTTCAAAACCACGTTCGGCCCGAATGCATCCGCAAAACTGCATAAAACTACTAACAAGGCACATATATTATCATGCTGACAGGCAAACACAACAAGCGCCCGGATCTCCGGGCAGGAATTCACCTGTGTGTCCGACTCCCAGCAACAAAGAGGTTGAAAATATCCCAGTCTCAAAGAAAACTTTCCCCTCCTTCAGGCTCGCAGCTTAACCTCATGATGTCATTACGCACGATGCCCTGTTCGCGGTGACGTCACCGACGGATGAAAACGCTCCGGTCCTCGTGCTCGTGGTGGCAGCAGCGCGCGCACGGGATTCTCCAGCGCGTGTCGTCATCGCATCAGAGGAGCCACCGGCCAATCAGCGTCGGGGATTCCTTTGTAGAGGACAACGGCAGACACATAAACACAATTAGCGATTCAGAATCAATTCAGCACAATTAATCATGACGATGACGAGCATCGTTTACAACGTAAAAGTCTCGAATGGTTATCAGTTTAAACTCAAAACCTGAATATGTTAGGTATGCAGAAATACTTTCTTAGAGGAATAAATGGCGGTTTAATTCCGTAGAATTTCGAAAAAAAATCCCCTGAAATTACAGTATAGCAACACAAAACGAAGAATTAAAGAAATATCTTATAAAACGACCCCTCATTCATGGCTCTAGTTCACAAGTAAACACCACAAATGCTGCATCTTTTAACTGCTTTATGAGAGATGCAACAAAACAACACAAATGTTTTGAGAATCAAGTATGTATTAAACGATCCTGATGAACTCGAGAACATAAAACCTACATGAACACACAATACGTACTTGTTAGAGTTAACAGCTGACACTTCTGAGAAATCCGTCTAGATGCAATCTCTACATGTACTCGGTCGATTCGTCTAGTAAAACGCTTTTGTGATCATCCCGTTGGTCAATAAAACCCTCTTTGCTGCATTTCTGCGTCTCTGGCTTTTGTTAGCTCGGCAGCTACACTCACTTCGCGCGCTCCCTCACTGTTTTTCCACTATAAAACACAATAGCAGGATGAGCTAGAAGAACGGAACCGGGTTAGGGATGATACCGAAACCCAAAGGAAGCCGTGGCGATCTTTACCTGTGAGTGTGGATGTGAGAAGAGTGTGTTTTTAGCGATGCTGTCTCTGACTCTGATGATGCCTGGGCCGCTGCACTGGGTCACGTGACCACCATATGATCACATATATTTTCCCCTCAGTGATTTATTTCCAGAACGTGTTAAACTAATATAACAAAAAAAAAAAATATTCAAAGTGAATATCGTGTCTCATAATTTTATTCATTTAGTTTTTTTGGTTGCAGATTTATATTTCAATAAAAATAAGCAAGAACAAGAGGCGAATGGAAAAACTAAACAAAAAAAAATACTATTTTCTTAAAATTACTTTAATACGGGGTGTTTTCATAGCTTTTTATTGAAGGAAATTCCTCATAATGAATTATAAATCGAAATGCTTCATAAGTGTTTTATTACTGCGCGTTCATCTAACATTGATCAGGGAGCATGCTACAAAACCTAAACTTATTTTTCTTTTATTTATTTCGGTGTTTTCAATGTGATTGTAATCAAAATGTTCATGTTCATTATCAATGAAAATTAATTATGTGGGTTGAAAATTGAAATAAACTAATTGTCAATAAAGTGTTTTAGCGATTCAGTTAATCTGTCACAATAAATCATTACACGTAATAAAATACATGAACTAGTTTTTAATCAAGTGTTTTAGTTTGTTTGTAAAAGTGTCTAATCTATTCCCTGACTTTAGGGGCACCCTTTCCCGCGTCCGTGTTTTGACGTCACTTCCTTCCCCCGTCGAGGCAGAAAACATGGCGGCTTCCATGGCGAGTGTCCTGTCAAAGACCATCAACAGACACTTCTTACAGGTACTGCGGACTCTCTCACACGGGTTATCTGTCTCTTAGTTACTACATGAGCGCAGTTGTTTACTCTTCTTTGTTCTGTGTCACAGGCTGTCGCAGCACAGCGTCAAACACGGTCAGTTTCACACTCATCTCTTTTAAAGAGTTACACCCCATTGTATAGAAATTAAACATCATTTAGTGGCATAAATGTTTGTTTGTTTCAGGTTGATCCACACATCGCCGTCTCCTGTCGTGAGTAACTGTAATTCGCCTAATGTTTGATATGAGTGTGATTTAAGTCGAAGTTCAGTGTTTGTGGCATGTGAATGTGTAAGCATGTATATTTGATTGACAGGTGTCAGAGGAGCCAGACACTCTCTATCAGAGGCTGTCAGTGGAGGTCAAAGGTCACGATAGGTCAGTTCTGGACAGTTATGAGTTTTTCGCGACTCTGGCCGCTCGAGAGCTCGGACTCACCCTGGAGAAAGTGTGAGTATTACCGAGCTGAACTCATTTATATTATATATATATATATATATATGATGCTGTTGAAGCGAGGGCTGGACGTGTTGTCCTGTGTCCAGGTTCGAGCCGCCCAAACACATCGATAAGCTCACCCTGCTGAAGTCCGTTCACATCTTCAAGAAGCACAGAGCCCAGTACGAGATGAGGACACACCGCCGGCTCATCCAGGTGAACCGCACTTCTGTACCGACCCGAGTGTGTTCACACACACACACAACACACTCTTTCCTTGAGCGTAACTTAAAAAGAATCGTATGTTCATTAGAAAGTTTTCAGTGATGGGATTATATTTATAAAATTTGCATTTACAGGCTATAATATATATAAAAAATATTATTATATATATAATTTTATATTTATTATATGACTGTGATATACATGAAATATATATAAAAATAATTTTATACAAAATTATAAGTGTGTGTAAGTATATATATATATACACACACAGACACTGTTATATATATGTAACACGTGTGTGTGTGTGTATAATTTTTTTTATTACATACAGGCTATATATTAAGTTAGGGTTTATTTGTACGTGTGTATGTGTATAATAATAATATAATAATAAAAAAAAAATCTCTACTCTTCCAATGCCGGGTCATTTCAACATCTTTGTGACTTGCAGATTTCAGGAATAACGGGATCAAGCGCGCGGGTTTATCTGGAGTATATCCAGCGTAATCTGCCGGAGGGCGTCGCCATGGAGATCACCAAGGTAACGACATCACACACACACACTGTACAAACAGACCAGTGCAATATTACAAATGTGTGTGAGCTGATACAGCGTGTGTCTCGTTCTCGATAGACTGCGATTGAGAAGATCCCGGAGCACATCCAGAAGCCACTGTGGGACGAACACAACCAATGAGGAACGAGCGGAGACTCACGTGATTCTCTGATTGAACACTGATGCTGCATATTATGTCAAAATACATATATTTGAACAATTTAACTGTGTACCATAAGTGTATTTCCTTTTTTATTTCAGTGTTGTCCTGTAGACACCAGCTAACCTTCTCTCTCAACATGGTTATGATGTATTTTTCCATCTGTTATTTATTGTTAGTGCTGGGCAACGATTAATCACATCCAAAATAAACGTTTGTTTACACAATGTGTGTTTGTGGTGTATAATGATTTTGTATATATTTAAGAAACATTTGCATGTATATACTGTATATTTATAAATAACACATTTTTCATATATATACAAAATAATTACTTGGTGTACACACACACACATCATGTAAACACTGGATGCGGTTAATCGTTGATCAGCTCTAGTATATTTTGTTAGTTAATACTGTCGAAAAAGAGACGATTGTATCTGGAGTATATAGACATCTGAAGTGTGCATTTGTGCTTCACTTTCTCAATAAATCAGTAAACTTTCCCACAATCATGAGTCGACAATTAAAAACACCAAGACCAGTTTGCAGAAACATCCCTTTAATGCAAGAGGAAGTGACATCAGCATCTGAGAAACATGAACTTTAAATCTAGATGAAAGATTTTGTGTGTGTTGTGTGTTGTGTAGTTCAGATGAGATTTTACTCACCGGTCCTGCAGCGCAAACCAAATGACTCTTTCGTCTGAATCAAAACAGTGGAATGATTCACTGTTCGCTCGCTCGCTCATACAGAGATCATGAACACAGAACAGCGAGAGTCAGACACATTCATCATACAGAAGTAAACCACTGAAACATTTACATCTGGAGGAAAACACTATTATATTCAGGAGTTGCAGGAAGTTCATATTCCTTCAATATAGTTTATGGCAGCAGTTCATCCCTGTAAAAATGATAAATGACACATAATTGGATGTTGGTCAGATCGTGGCTAAACCCTCTGGAGAATCCTTCAATCATATTGGGAATCATTTTTCCGCATGTTTTGAAGGAAACAAACTTTGTTGCATTATTTATCTCTGTAAAGCTGCTTTGAAACTGAATAATGCAAATGAGATTGTGCTTTTCCTTTAGTATCTGCTGTAAAACACTATTTAACACTTTCATTTATACCGTTATATATCATGATTTATAAAGCATTAATTATGCACTGTTTGTCATTAAATAATTGTTTGCAATAAAAACATCCAGTTTCAGATGTGAAGGAATCTGCAAATATTATAATCATTTATTTTAACTTTGGTTCCTATTATATAATGCGTTATACACAAACACTTCACAATGACTTTTATGAAGTTTAATAAAGAAATGATAACGTTCATATTTATGTAAAAACACAATATGGTTCTTTACAATGAAAAACATTTATAAAGCGTTTCTTTATTTTCTTTTTTAACATTTACTAATACATTATTTAAATCTAAAGATGTATTTGTTAAAATAACACTTTACAATAATTCGTTAACATGAACATAACTTTATTAATCCTTTATTAATGCATTCCTAAAATCATATCTGTATACACTGACGCACAGTGACTTCAACACGAACATTTTAATTTAATAATAATAATGAGCTGTAAGAATATATTGCTTTATTCAGATTAATTGAGTAATGTTAACTTATTGTAAAGTCTTACCATGTTTTTTTAATGGACTTGGAAAGTATTTTTTACTAACAAACACTAACAAAGATGAATAAACACGTCACAAATGTGGAAATAATGTTCAGTGACACTGGGATTCATCTACAAAACTTAAAAGCTGACTAGAAACATTCATCAGTAAGTTTTATTAGTTAATGTATGAACTAACCATGAGCAACACATCTGACACTGTGTGTTAACCCTAATGTTAACAAGCACAACCTTTCAATCTAATCATGTATTAGTAAATGTTGACATTAATATTGACTAAGATGAATAAATGCTGTAGAGCTATTGTTCATACTGAGTTCATGTTCACTAATATTAGCAAAGTCTTACCAATTTAAGTTATGTGATGATGTTTTTAGTCTATTATTTTGATGTTTTTAATTATTATTCGATGTATTTTAGAAGCTTTTGGAATATTGTATTATTTACAGTCATGCCAAGAAAGCAATTTTGAATTTGAGAGAGAGAGAGAGAGAGATTGAGAGAGAGAGACAAACTCACTGTGGTTATGAGGGGGCGGGGCTTCTCACCGTGGGGGCGGGGCTTGCAGGAGTTGAGTGACAGACAGGATGGTCCTCATACGAGTGTCCGGATGCTTCCAGAAGGGTGTCTCACCCCTTCAGGAGACAAGAAGAGTCAGAGGAACACACAGAACACGTTTGCTGCTCGACGCGCGCCATTCTGACACTTCCGGAAGGAGTCATTCACCGACAGCCAATCACCTTCTTCATCACATCTCACTGTCCAACACTCACAAACGAGTCACGAACAGTCGTTAGATTATCTGCCGAATTCATGTTGAATGCAACAGAGATATTAGGTGTAATAAAGCGGATTAATCAGAATCACGTTCTCGCATCAAATGATCCACATTATTCGTTATGTTAACGGCCTCACACAAGGCAAAAGTTTGGACGCACCGACTAAAGTTGTTCTCAACCTGTGTGAGTTTCTTTCTCTGAAGAAGAGGAAGAATAATAATGTTGGTAACCAGATTTCCATTGTATTTTCTCCATACTATGGAAGTCAATGGGGTCCAAAAAGGTATTTTGATGAACACACAATTACTGGTATCCATAGAATGGAGGAAGAAAAATAATAGGGAAGTAAATAGGTACAATTCTGCATAATCTTCAACAAAACAAAGAAACTATATACCAATTATATGGGTGCACTGTCCCTTTAAATTCTTGTTTTTCATGGCTTAATTGAATCTAAATTTAATGTCTTCTCACAGGGTTATTAATCACATGCATATGAGATAAAGTATTTTTTGTGACCTTTACATTAATTTCTTTACATAACTGAATAATAAATCATGAAGTTCCTCTTTAATGGGGTTTAAAAGAGCCGTTTTCATTCCCACTGTTTCAAACACATAAAAGACATCGAGTGTCTCCAAACTTTCGTCTGTTTAGTGCTATTAACTCACTGGCATGCTCTACAGCGTGATGGTGATCGGACTTTACTTTTAGAAAGAGTCTAAAGTGCTGAATAATAAAAGTACATTTATTTCATGCACACATCCTTGGACATCCGGCCTGTGCTCGAGTTTCAGCCCTCTATGCAACTTTAATTCAGTGCATTTCAAATGTAACTTTAACTCAATTATAAAACAATGTGCTTTATTATGCATTTCTGCAATGATGTAAATATATATATAAACACATCATAGTGTAAAAATCTTTACATTGCTGTCCATTTGGCTTTGGAAATGATCAGTACTTTAAAAAAATGCATTACATTAATGGACATTCAGCTTTTGGTTCAAATGAACAATAAAAAAGAGAGGTCATTTTATCTTAACTTTATTGTTTTGTTTGTCAAAACTAAGTCAAAAGCTGTTATCTGTTCAATTTACATTCACAAATCCACATGACTTTATCAGTTACAATACGTGAATGTGCCATAACACTTCAAAACTCAACACAGAGAGGGGATTTAGCTTTACTTTTTACTATTTTGAATCAAATACTTGGCCTTAAAATAGAAAAGCAAGGAAATATTTATTTAAAGAAGAAGTATAAATCGTAGCGCTACTCTACTGTCATGTTAAAAACGAATCCATGTATTTGTGATTTTAACAATCATTCAACCAAAAAAAAAAAGAAACATGAATACTTTAACAGCAATATTCTCACTTGACTTACGTAGCTGCACATTTATGATATTAAATCATTATTAATTCATGAGCACTACACATGAAGATGAACATATTGAGGGATCTGCTTGGTAAATGCCATATTTGAGACGTCCAAGGAGTACAGAAATATCAACGACACAAGCTTGAGGAGTAAGTCGTCCTTCTCGCTCTCTAAAGTCTCACTCGTTCTCTTGGAGTAAAGGAACAGGATTGTTTAAGGCTCACAGGAATAGCACCACGCTGACTATACACAACACTTAGGGAGTAAAAACACTTCATTTAAATCAACTTAAGAACATGTTGTGTCCTTCTCTTCCTCAGAGTGAGAGTGCTTTTAAAGGGATAGTTCACCCAAAAATGACAATTAGCCCATGATTTACTCGACCTCAAGCCATCCAAGGTGACTTCTTTCAGACCAACACTATCGGGAGTTATGTTAAGAAATGCCCCGACTCTTCCGAGCTTTATAATGGGAGTCAATGGGTTTTTGTTATTGGAAATCCATCAAAATGCATCTACCCATCATAAAAGTGCATCTATATGGATAGATGCACTTGTATCATGAATAGATGCACTTTTATCATGGATAGACGCACTTTGATGACCTTCCAAAACCACATTTAATCCCATTCCAAAGCTTGGAAGAGCCAGGGCATTTCTTAATATAACTACGATAGTGTTCGTCCGAAAGAAGAAAGTGAGGTCGAGTAAATCATGGGCTAATTCTCATTTTTGGGTGAACTATCCCTATAAATGTTTTTCGGGATTTTTTCCTCCAATGAAGTAACATATATATAAAAAAATAAAAAGGTAGCGTGTTTGTTACAGTAAAAGGACCTGCGAGTCTGTTCGGACAGAAATGAGTCTGAGCGGTGGACATTAACGCTACAGATTTTAGTTGCGTTAAAACTTCCGGCCACCAGGGGGCCCCGGCCAGCGCTGGCCCCTGCCTGGAGGCGGGTGGGGCAGAGGAGGGGCCGATCCGTTGTGGTAACTGCATGAAAGGATAAAATCACACATTTTGATTGGCCTGCTGCGCTCAAGAGGCGCCGAGACTCGTCATTTTTTTGCAAATGCGTTATTTAAAAAGCACAGAATTCAAGAAAAACAGGGTGTCATGCACTATGTATTTTTAATTTTAGCCGTGGTCTGCACTGTCACGCCCGAAGAGACTCTTCTTCGCATGTGTGTGTGTGTTTGAAAAAAGGGGCTTTCGCACTGGAGGAACCTGTTCATGGTTCCTACAACTATTGGCGTGTTTGCTCGCACCGCAGGAACGATTTTCCTCCTACTTCTAAACCAGCGCTATAGGAGCTATCCGTGACGGTAGTGTTCGCTGACTGCCCGAACGCACGCAAAACACCAGCACCCGCCATTTAAAAAAAAAAGACAGATTACAGCCTATACATTTACTCCACACACTAACTCTACGAACACGGAAACAGGGAGAGATGAAGCTCTAAACCTTTACGCTGAGGAGAACATCAAGAGAAACTTTCTATATAACAGTTTAATCTAATAATGCTGTTAGACAGAACGTTAACTGATGAACAGGAGAATGTGAGCGCTGTGTGTTCTGGTGTTCGCAGCGCCGTCAAAATAAAAGTCACAACAAACACGTCTCACGTCCCTCCAGAGTTCCTGCTGGCGCTGCGAACCCAACCAGAACCATTAGTCCTCGGGAAACACCCTGGAGGCTCGATCCTTGAACTACCCGGTGCGAAAGCCCCTAAAGTGAGAGCGGATGAGTGTGTTCTTACCCTCTGGGGTGGAAGAAACGGGGCGGACCGGGCAGCATCATGCCCCGCCCCCTCGGATGTGGGGGCCGTCCTCTGAAGGCCGGGTGTCCCGGCGGGGGGGGAGGGGGAGGCGGGCCGTGCCTGAAAACAAACACACAATTTACACCAAGCACAAACCATCCAGTCTCTCTTGAATCGAAACACGGAAGTGACATAAAACTGCAGTTCATCGAACGACCACTAGAGACCGGCTACAAAAGAGACCCTTTATGTGCCACAATTGACATCACAGTTTAATTGACAGGCAATCGGACCAATCATAATCCACCATATCTGTCCGACAAAGCCATCAGGAGAGCGAGTAGATTAACGTTGAAGGATTTGAACTTGATAAACGTGTCCTGACGTTTGATGCTATAAATGAACTAGAAGAGACGATTGCTCCGCCCAAATAAAACTTTACTATGTTTACTAACTGAAAAGGGGTGTATATATATATATGATATGGGGAAATATAAATTTCCATGTTAATCAGAGTTTTAGGCCTGACCAGCCGTGACGCGATGATTATATTTTAGACACGGTTCTAAAATAAAGGCACATATGGTTGAATGCAGTCCCAGTGTTTGCCGGAGTGATGCGGACACCTGTGCATGTGTGGTGGAGGTCCTCTCATGTGCATGTGATGAGGTGGAGGCGGCGGTGGCGGCGGCGGACCCAAGTTCATTCCCATCGGCCCGCCTCGACCTCGACGGCCACGCATGTCTGGATACGGCCACGTCCTTCCCATGCCTCTCCTGCAACACACAGAGGAAACGTGCTTTTTCATAAACAGGTTCACTACAATTCTTTAAAGGGATAGTTCACCCAATAATGAGAATTAGCCCATGATTTACTCACCCTCAAGCCATGCTAGGTGTACATGACTTTCTTCATATAAATGACTATTTAGTCGCCGTAGTAAATCGATGCGGATAGGCGTCATCCGGAAGCTAGTTATTTTAGTTGATGAGTTTAAATATGAATATTTTTCTTAAACAAACGCATCGCTTCACTTCAGAAGGCTTTATTAACCACATCGGAGCCTGTTGAGCACTTTTATGATGGACAGATGCACTTTTATCACTAATAGATGCACTTATCATGGATAGATGCCCTTTTATGGAATTCAAAACGTGGCCATTCACAAGAAGAAAGACATACACACCTAGGATGGCTTCAGGGTGAGTAAATCATGGGCTAATTTTCAGTTTTGGGTGAACTATCCCTTTAAGGAAAGACTGAAGAACAGTTCAGCAGAACCTCAAGGGTCCAAATCCATTGGTAAACCCGTCGCGCCCTCTTCCTCTCATGTGACCCGGGGGTCTGAAGCCTTTCATCATCATCATCATCCCACGTCCCCCACGAATCCCACGGCCCATCCGGCCACCTCTGCCACGAAACTTCATCCCACGACCCCTGCAAATAACCAGAACCAAACCACACATTAACACACAACTGCTTTTCACAGTAATACTCAGGAACCACCTTCATCAAATGAGACACATTCTCTAAAAACTCATTATTCAGTCCATCAATCATGAAACGAGATCAAAATCACTTCCTGTGAAATTAGTGTGGAATAACAGTAATAACAGTTTCAGGTTTTTCCCTCCATCATAAACGAGTGCGTCACAGAGCGTCAGACGAAACACAATAAACGCTGTCGTGTTCTCTGGCGTTCGGGAACACACTCGCGTGAGACGCTTCTGGAGGGAATTAAACCAAATCTGATCACAGACTTCGACTTTTCAGAAACACCAAACCATGAGACGCTGCCATGTCATTGGTCTGCTGGTTACTCCAGTTATCCAATCATATTTTACATTTCCATCCAGCTTTTTTATATGCGTCATCTCAAAAATGTGCATAAAAACAGTTGGATGTGAATAACCAATGACAGTTGAAGCTTTGGTCATGTGACCTACCTGAACTTGTTGTCAGACGACGGCTCCTCTTGCGAGGGCGTTTCTGTGGCCTCCATCACTTCTGTCGTCTCCTCCACCTGCTCCGCTTCGGCATCCATCTGGAAAATATTGGTGCTTTTTAAGCGTACGCTGAGAATTGATGCCGGTCAGTCGCATACAATAGCATTTTCAGCAGCAAACACTATGAACATATAACATCTGCCTTAAGACTAGTCCTAAAACCTTCACCTTTGACCCAAATCCAGATTCAAGCGCCAATGTCAAATGTTTTCCTTATGCCTCTCGCCTCGGCAAGCACATGGACGCCACACGACGAGCTTAACATGCCAGAACCTCCTCCGTCATCGCACAGCCTGCTGGGATATAAGCAGCTGATCTGGGCCACGGGGATTTCAGGGCACAAGCCGTGTATTAATAGTGTGAACGCACAACTGTAAAATGAAGCATCTCTAAAAAACTGCAGAAGATTTTGCTAATGGAAACGATGCATGAGAGAAAACATGAGATATAAATTAATTTTAACATTTCATGGCTCATCGTAGTCCTCGTGAAATTTCGGGAATTTGAGGCAGGGTATATCAAATATATTTATATCTTAATTAGGCTTTAATTTACACCTTGAATTGCCACCTGATATTGGTAAGAGGGGTTTCTCAAAGCAGAGAGCATTTATTGGATAAGAATTTGCATACACCTCTGAGTGCACGATTACATCATCAATATGATCAATTTTAATATTTCTATGTAAATTATTATATTGAATATATTGAATTTAAAGGATGATATAAAATCATGTATTTACTCGGAGTTTATGATGTTATTATACATGAATATAAGGATTATTGTCACTGATAGTATGTTTAGGCCCACAAAAAAATAACATAAATTTGATGATTTTACAACGATTAACAAGCTCTTAATTCATTAATTTCACACATTCAGAGATTTAACGTTACTGTAGGCTTAAAAAGTCCCTCTGTCGCCATAATCACAGCTGAACGAAATCATCAGCCGAAAACACAAATAAACAATGAACTCTCACATGTTTACAGCTAGCTAAATGCTAACAACAGAAGTAATTCAATAGAATTAACGAAGGCGAATGTGTGATTTAACGGCTCGCCTCACCGACATTAAACACTCACACGCTCTATTTCGAGCTCACAGCGCCTCCTCCGTGACTTACCTTATGAGATTGAGAGCTCTTCAAAACAACGAGCCTTAAAAATATAAAGTGTTATGCACTGTAATCTAAAAAAAAATAAGCATCCGTCTATTAAATCAAGAAAACTCGCGCGTTTATTCGGCTTTGAAATGGCGGCCCGCGCCGCACCGTCACATCGAGCTGATTCTCTTTGTCAGAGCGTCATTGTACCGCGAGGCCACGCCCACACCGTACCCATGCGCGCTGTGATTGGCCAGGACTCCTGTCGCAAGAAATACGTCATGATAATCGCTGTTGTGCGTAAACAGGTTTTATTGCTATTTTTATTGTGGCATTATTCAACTTTTATCAGGCAGTATATCTTCTGAGTCTATCCCATTATATACTAATCATTTAAGTATTAATGGTGTGAAAATTATAGATATAAAATTTGATAAATTTTGTATTAAAAAATTACGTAGAACTACATTATTGTCTAAATGCAAACCTTTTTGGAACTCGATATATTTAACTAGATTGAATGGAAGAGGTCTGTAAATACCGTCTAACCAATAAAGTTAAAGAAGTTACATATAAAGTTATTCATTTGATTTACCCAGTGAGAGAAGTAGACTTGAATGTGTCTTATTTTTTGAATGTGTATTTACCCAATTGTTTTGGATTGATATTGAACATCTAATATTGCAAAGATTCGACTATCTGGTAAAGATATAATTTTGTTATATAAAAGTAAGTGTTTGGAACAAAATTTGGTGATTAACTTATAATCATGTATGTAAAATACCACAAACAGAAATGGACTAATAATAAACCTAACATTATAGTATTTAAAACTGAACTCAAGCATTATTTTGAGGCCTTAAAAGAAGTAAGAAATAAAAAAGCAAAACAGATGTATAGAATTTTATTTTCTTTTTGGATTTTTTTTGTAAATTATCCCCTGTATATATATATTTTTATTTTATTTGTTTTTATTGTTTATTCTGTTTTTATGCTATTATGAATGTAATAGAGGATAGCTGAATACATTGTGATCCTCTGTATGTGTATGTTGTTATTGTTCTGTTATGCAATAAAAAATAGGTTTTATTGCTAAACATTTTTAATCCACAAATGTAGATCTTTTTTATTTCTCCCTTTTGTAGTCTTGAAGACCTATTAGGCACAATGTCGAAAAGCCCTGCCAAAAACATTTATTTATTTGTATATTTCTTTATTTTTACTTATCTTATTGTGTCCAAGTGTTTGTTATTGAGTAAGTTGTCTGTAAATTGAATGCCATCTTATTTAATTTTTTGGATTTCTTAATAAAATTATATATATATATATATAAATAAAAGTCACCCATATTTGATCGTTTTGGTTTCAAATCCAATTTTATCTTGACATGAAGTACAAAAAACAGTTTACATCAACACAAACAAGATGTTTATTCCGCAATTTATATTTACTATTAGACATCAATATTCCACTCAAGCATCAGCAAGAAATATTTACATCAGTAAAACATGAGTGGATAAGCAAACAAACAAAATCTGTACAAAAGCAACCTAAAATCAAAAAAATAAAGATTCTGTATCGGCATCCATAACCAGCTAACAAATGTATGTTCTAAAAAAAATAAAAAAATAAAAATTATGGAAAGATTGATTCATGATTTGCAAAATTTCTAAAACGTTTTCAATTGCGTAGTTTAAAAACGTTATAATCACATTTTCATAACCCTTAAGACATTCTTAGAACATTCGTCGAATACAAATAACATATTAAAGAATTTTCATTTTTGCGTGCACTGGCCCTTTAAGAGAACGTTATTCAGGTCAAAAAACATCATGAAAATCATCTCAACAGTGAAAAGTGAAAGTTGTGGGAACATTCCCTGATAGCTGGGCGATTCCACGAAAAAATTAACATCCAGAATCTTTCCATTGCACAAAAGGTTCTTTAAAGACGGTTTCATCAAACCCACGCGCGTTGCCACGGTTACGCGTCTGGCCCGAAGTTAACTTCCGGTCTATGTTGGTTTATCGGTCTGGCTAGTGTCCAGTAATATGACACATTTTGTTTGTGTGAAAAGCTCCTTCAAATCTAACAATTTTGAAGCTGTTGCTTGACAAACTACAAGCCGCACCACTGAGGTTTAACGCTGATCATGTGTTTGACGACTGACCAGATCAAACACAACACAGAGAGAGCCGTCGTCGACCGTTGGTCCCGTCAGCGCCGCGCATGCGCAGATTGCTGGTCGAGGATGCTGGAGAGTTCTTTAATGTACTGAATGGTATATTTGAGGGTTTGTATCTTGGTTAACGGTTGTCCTCTCCTACTGTACACCGGCGGCAGGTAATCCCGGAGCTGGTGAAGAGCCTCCGCCAGACTGCGCATGCGCAGCTTCTCCCGTTCGCTAGCCTTCATTCTCCTTTTCACGCTCATCTTCACTTTGGGCTTCAGTTGCGACTCGCATCCTCCGCTATTGCTGGAGCGCGCGTCCGGGGACGAGCACGCGGACTCCGGCGAGGACGCGCTGCAAGAGTCGCCAAACGCTCGGTCCTCTTCTTCTCTGCTCCAACCCCAATGAGACAAAACTTTAGCCGTGTACACATCGACATCGATCCGAGCCATGTCTTCGTTCAGCTTATCCATCTATCTATCCTGTGTGACAAACGTCTCTTTTATACCCCGAGAACTTTACGAGCGCGAGGTTCAAAGAGAGACGCGCGCATGCGCAGAAGACTGAGGGACGCGCGCGCTTCTTGACACCCGGGTGCGAATAAGGCGATGTTGGCGGATAATGTGTAAGTGAAAAGAAAATAATTAGATTCCCCTTTTGTGGGAAATGAGTTTTTAAGTCGACACGGCGGCACTTAGCAGACCGATGCGACCAGACGCGCGCAAAAGCTCAGAGAATCACACACACTTCACAGATGCGCACTTTACATTTACATTTTCAGACACTTCCACATATACATCGTGAAAAATAAAACCTCTCATCTTATCATGGCCTTGTGAGTTTTTTAGATTGTGAAATATATATATATATATGTTAAAATATTTTTTTCTATTAAATACTTGGCTTGATGGTAATGACTGCAGTGTTGGGGACAGTCATTCATTATTATAATAAATGGTAAATATTAATGGCAAATAATAAATGCAAAGAAGGCTTTCTTGATTTGAACTATTATGAGATAAGAATTATGAGAAGCAAGTTAAAAGTACTTCAACGTGAACTAAATGGAAATTAGCTTTGCAAATAACTGAAATAAAATGAAGTTTTCTACATTTTTACATTTTATTTATTTATATATATAAGAGAGAGAGAGAGAGAGGGTGTTCACTGAGGGGTTTGTTTCTTATATAATTGCCCGATTTTATGTTTTATTCATAAAAAAAGGTGAAATGTTTTTTTTCTTTATGTTGACAGTATTTTCTGATTGAGGGTAATAAAAAGAGAAATAGAAAAAAAACATTTAAAGCTAATATATATATATATATGTAATTTTTAACATTTATTTTAATTAATATTTATTATTAAATTAAATGTTTTTTTTCACTCTTAAAAGTTTAAGGCTATTAAAACACATTCTTGAATGATTTCTGAATTCCCCCATGTGTAACTCCTTGATGAATTTTACTGACGAGCGCTGATGTCTGACGTGTGTGTGTGTGTCGCAGCTGTCAGATCTTTCATGTCTGGGAAGGTGTGACACCTGTCACTCATGATCAAGGCCTGAGGAAGTGCAGGCGTTTATGCCCTGATTAGGACCACACTGTGACTTCATCCTGATGTTCCTCAGACAAGAGGAGGTTTTGCTCTTTACGGCAATCTGTGCTTCTCAATAATGTGTCTATTGCAACAACACACTTTCATTTAATAGGGAATGACTGAATATTAACCTAAACTACAATGAATAAATATACACAGATTTCTCTTTTCATTATTTTGAATTCATGCATTTGAATCACATGACAGATCCATGATTGTATATCTCCTTTTTAATATTTCTTAACTTTAACCTTGTTCTGTTTTAGTCCTAAAATGGAATTATTATACTTGCTAAATACTATAAACATACAAATGTGATATTCAAAATAATATCTGTAATTGTGTGATGTATTTTGATTATGTGCAGAAAATCAAAATAAAGTAAAAATAAATGAATAAAGGCATATATAATTGAAATAAACACACATTTATTCCCAAATTGAAATGTTAAACATTATTCCCAGTGTCACTTGTGCTTCATCACTCACTTAGCGAATCTCATCTTCAGTCTCTCAGCCAGCGGGCGAGGGCTGTCCACCGAAGCGTCCGAATCCTCTGAATCAAGCGTCCCATGATGCACCTGGATAAGGCTCGCCGGTCTCAGCCACTCCTTCTCTGGGGTTTTAATCTTCATCTGGTCATCAGTGGATGATTTATGGGTTATATTGATGGATTTGTGGGTGATTTTGACGGATTTGACCTTGGCTTTGCTTCGGGGCTTCGGTGATCCGGGTCGGTTCTCCGCGTCGCTGTCACACACACTCGTCTTACACACACTCGTCTTACACACCTTCTCTGCAGGTTTGCCGGGGGGATTCTGCTTTGGGTTTGCAGACGGCGCTGATGGGACTGAACGGAGCGGTTCGGGACTGTTCTTCATCATGATCCGCTCTTTGAGAGAGCGAGTCGAGTCTTCCGCAGATCTCGGGTCAGGAGAGGCCGTGAACGAGGAAGAGTCCCAGTCGATAGTGCTGAGATGCAGCTGGCCAATCAGAGCCGACTCGGAAGGGGAATTCTGGGAAGGCGGAGAGCGCTGGATCTCAGGTTGTGGTGGTTTCTGGGTAAGTCCGGCATCTGGATCAGTGTCCGTCTGAAGACACATCTGAGCAAACAGATCCGACACGGCATCATGGGAATCAGCCGGCTTCTCTTGCTTCGCTTTCGGCTTCTTTTCTGCACACACACACACACATCAAAATCACGCACAGGTTGGTTGTAGTTATGCTTGGCTATGAATATTTTACTGTCAAGAAATTGTACTTTATATGCTATGAAACAATTTAAAAATCTTGATGCTTTTAATTACAAAATATCTACAGGTGAAACTGCAAAAATGATATATTTCAGTAATTCAACTTAAAAGCTGAAACTAATATAGACTCATTACATGCAAAGTGAGATATTTCTAGCCTTTATTTGTCATCATTTTGATGATTATGGATTATAGATATGAAAACCCCAAATTCAACATTAGATTATTGTGAACAGGTTTTCATATCTGTAAGCCATAATCATCAAAATGCCGTTTTAATTTCAGTAATTCTCATACTTCAACTTAAACTAAATGAAAATTAGAAATGTTGAAACTAAGTGAAACATTTTTTTGAAACATTACATTTATTTTTACATACATATATATATATTATATTTGATTTCACACAGCACAACACTTATTTAAGTTTTATTAACGTTTTGAAAGCTCTTTATATTTTTAGTGGCATTGGAATGTTGTTTTGTTCTTATAGTAGTGTTTTGTGTTTCTTAAAATCTTGCTAATTAAGGTGTAATTTTTATTATTATTTATTTATACTTTTTATTCAGTTTATTTGCATTTTTGGCTGAGTTTATGAAACACCAGTAAACAGGAATATTCTTTACAGAGGTAGTTTGGGTTCAGGACGACGTGTAAGAGGCGACTTCTGTGCGACACCTCGCGTCATCAAAGCGTCTGTGTGTGTGTGAGAGTGTGTGAGAGTGTGTGTGAGTGTGTGTGAGTGTGTGTGAGACGCTTCTGAGCTCAAACTCTTAAAGTGTTGCTCTTTGATCCCAGTACTTCCACACAGGAAAACCTCCAGCACACTCACACACACACACACACCACCTGCTCTCACGCTGAGGAAGACCACTCGACCTTCACAGAATGAGTCAAAGCAACTGAACCCACAGGAACAGACCAGATCTATGGAGTGTGTGTCTGAGTGAGTGAGTCAATGTGTGTGTGTGTGTGTGACCCTACTCTTGATTTTGTTCTCCTGAGCTTCAGCTTTCTCCCGATGGAAGTCCTGGACGATCTCGGGAAACGCGAGACTGAAGAGAGACTCTTCCTCGACCGTCCGCACCTCCTCACGATCCTCACAGTCCTCAGCAAACACATAATCATCTGTCACACACACACACACACTTAATAAACACTAAACACTTCCATGATTTTACCATGATGATGTCAGTCATTCATCATCATAAGGATTGAGGGTTTGATCAACTTATTCCATTATATTTAGAAATACTTACAATATTTGGAATTAAGAATGATTTTACTCATTAGAAATGTTTCCAATAAGAGAAAAGCACTGAAGAAGTGCAGCATTTTAAAATATTCAAAGCATAACTATAAGAATGTGTTTTCAATATCGATATGCTTTTACATATTTGAGTAATTTGCGTGACTTTTCTAAGACCCTTAATCACATGTTTCACGGCTCTCGCTCGCGCACGGCGACACTACACCAGCTCTGAAGGTGTAAGAACGTTTGTCGTGTGTGTGAGTCGAGCTGTGGTGTGTG